AGAAAGTGATGAAAACTCAACTCTAGATGAATATGGATAGATGTGAAAGATATTCAAATGTATATCACAACTTTAGCAATGATCTCTCTATAGAATATGAAGGAGCTAACAGAGATCATTGGCTTTCTCTAGCTTTCAAAGAATGAGAATGAATGAGCTAAGTTTTTCAAAATATTTCAAATGTTTCTCAATGCTTGGATTTCCCCCAAAAGAGAAGAGATAATCTATTTATAATTCATTAAGAAATATGATTGTTTTACACTCTTGGGATTCTCGGTCTATTCTGTAAACACAGAGATATAAACGTCTGTCCTGAAAACTATACACGTGTGTGGGTCATTCCGGTTAGGGTTTGGATTTGCATAACTAGTTCATAGACATCTGTCTATTATCAATAGACGTATGTCCTGGAAATTGTCTCTCTCTCGGTCAATTCTAAAATCACAGAGGCATAGACGTCTGTGAAATGTCTGTCAAGTAATTTTCAGAAAAGGTATTAGGATATAGCTATTTGCTCATAGACGTCTGTCATGGGATTATAGACATCGTACCCTTTTCCTAAAATACCAACTCTGTTCTTGGCTAAAACACTGCGGCCTAGATGTCTATCTATATTCATAGATGTCTGTCCTTTTAGGATTTTGCAATTAAAGGTTCCTGAGGCCATAGAGACATCTCATTGATGTCTTTGTCACTTGTATTCTCTAATTATAAGCTTGTCAAGGCACATAGTGACTTTCTCAAAGTCAAATGACTATTTTGCCCTTAAAATATATTTCATCTAAGTCCTAGGGTCAAGTCATTATAGGGTCCATGTGTGATATGCATGTATGAATCATTTTGGCCCTAATCCAATTATAGTGTCCTAGGCTTGAGCTTTCAATGCACGTGCAACATGTACTACTTTACAATCAAGTCCTAGCGCACACCCAGCGATACATCCCATGTTGTTGAACCTTCATGCTCTATTGTCATCATGATCAAAGGTCCACATGAGCCTTTGAATACTTGACTCTATATGATAAATATGTGAACATCAATACTCAAGTAGATTGTCAATTCCTTCACATGAATAGGTTGTTATAGTCAAAATCACCCAATCAATCTCGGGGCTAACAATAACGGTGTTTTTGATCAAATGTCTAGATAGAAGAAGTCTGCTAATTACATGATTTGCATCTCTTTTTCAGATATAGGATTCCATATCATATTACTTTTTTTATAACCAACAACAATTTGGTTGAATAAATAAGTGAAGAATGAGGTATTATTCAAAGGGAAGTAAGAAAAGTGGAGATCTAAAAAAAGACCAGCTTGTACAACCAAAGTCTTGGCTTGAGTGGTATGTCCTTCACCTTCCAAAGGGGAGGTTGAGGGTATTTTACCTATTGGGAAAAAAAAAAACCCCACCTTGTCACAGGGCTTCCTATAGAACAGACCCTCACCTGTCCCAATTGCTAAGTAAGCCACCTCTTCATTTGAAGACCTGAGTAAGCACTCAAAGTCTACTACATTTCATTGATGTAGTGCACATGATGCCAAGATCAAGTTGAAGCTTCTATAACTGTTGGAAATCATATCTATAAGTTGACTCGATGATTGTGGCAGATTTATTGGGTCTTCATTATAGGCTAATGTTTAGGCTTTTATTTAGGGATTTGAGTTTTATTCTGATTTGTGGTGTGTGTTGAAGACCCAATGCATCAAATTGCATGCAAAAGTGTGTAGTGTGGCCAAGTTTAAATTTAGAAAATGCCACTACCACTTCCAACTAAAAATATAGCTAGAGTGAGTAGGGATCGTCTTAAGGGAAATGAGGTGTATTTGTGCTTGGAAATTAATGTCGGATTTGTAGGTCGAGTGATCAAAGTTGGTTGGTGATTGGTTAATTAAACTACAATGCAATTAAAATTAATGCAAGTAAAAAGTAATCTAGAAAGTAGGGAAAAGATATAGGAGAGAGGTCTTGAGGCTTAGAGTCACCACTAAGCTTCACTTCATCAAACACTAGCAATTGTACGTTAATGGGAAAATTTAAATTGTAACTTATGTGTGTGTGACAATAATTGAAACTAAGCATGGATTGCAATAAGTATAGATTGTCTAGCCAATTTTAATGAATAGCACAACCTATCAAATGAGATCAATATCCATTCAATTAAACCACAATTAATGCACACACAAATATCTAGAGACATGCACTCTTTGCATTCATAAGTATGGAACATCAAGAAACAAGAATGGATTGTTCACCTACCTAAGAAATTAAAGCAATTACACTACAACTACGCTAGAGACATGAAATTAAACTAATTAAACTAGAGATGTGATACAATCCATTAAGAAACAAGTATGAACCATCAAATAAATCATAAGAGTGTTCCATTAAGCACCATGCCTTGACTATCACTAGATTAACATCATCAACACACATAGACATGCATCAATATCATTAAATCTTGAGACAAAAATATGAACATCAATTCTAGCATACATAGACATATGACTAGAGCTAAATGATCAATTGAAAGCATTAATCCATACAAATCAAGTAGAAATCATAAGATCTATATTAATTCATGGTCAAAACATCTATTATAATTAAAATCCCTAAAAATACACAAAAGCTAGGTTTGAGAAGCAAGCCTAGGGGCTATCTCTAGCCCTAAGAGAAGGATTTAGCCACTCATTGTAGTGGTCATGGAACCCTCAAGGGCTAGCTTGAAGGTTGGCATCATCATCTTCATCCTTGCTTTTTTTCCAAAATCCTAGGTCTAGAGAGAGGAAAATATTTTTCTATAATTGGTAATATCTATCTATGATGGTATGATATAATAATGTTCAATAAATCAATTACATACTCCTTTGAGTAAGGACCAAGTCAGAATTACAGCCTATGATCGGAGGAAATTCGCAGCTACACAAGTTAGGTAGAAATCGGCGTGCTCCGGAATTAGATAGCTCACATCGATCGAATATGTTCGATCGATCAAACACTTAGCTTCGATCGATCAAAGCTGACGTGGCTCGAAAATATCTTCCAGGCTTTATTCAATTGGCTGAGCTGGCACCGCCTCATTTTGATCGATTGTAGACCTCTTCGATCAATTGTGACTTCCCTTCGATCGATCGAAGTTCCTCTGGTGCATTTTTCTTGGCTTCTTTCCAACTTTGTTCCTTAGCTCCAAAATTGAGCTAAATGGCTCTTTTTAGCCTGTTTGAACTTTATTAACCTGAAATATGCAAAAACACAAATAAGTATCTAAAACATGAAAGTAAGATAAATGAATGAACTAAAATACCCTAGTTTAGGTGCTAAAATGCGTCACATATGAGCACTTATCAATTTGATTTTTATTCTCTTTCCATATTTGTAATTTTCCTCTTATATATAATGATAGTGGTTCTCAAATTAAGTACGCCAATTTTAGCAAATTACTTTTTGGTAAGCCTCATCTCCGACGGTAGTCCATCATTATCCCCTTCATTTTTCATATTTCTCTTTCGTCATTTGATTTTGTTGGAGCTCTTTGTTTTGGGTTGTTTAAGGACTCAGTTTTGTTGGAGCTCTCTGTTTTGCCCAAGAGAATATTGCACGGCCTTTTTCCTGGTGTTGTTCCGGTATTTCTAGCTTTGTTTCAGATCTTTTTCATCTCTTGGATGGATCGCTCCGGTGTAGGGAGGCTCTCCTCCCAGGTTAAGACCCCTTTTTTTGGGGGTATTCCCTTAGCATTTGACATGTGCTAAGGGTCTCTCGGTGTTGTTTGTGCCTTGTTTAGGCTGCCGGTGTGTTTGGTAGCATCGTTCTTTGCCTTGTTGGGTTGCTAGTGTGTTCGGTAGCATGGTGTTTGCCTTTTCCATATCTCCAACAGTATTTATTGCCTTAGTTGGGTTGCCGGTGTGTTTAGTAGCATTGCAATCTTATTGTGGAAAGGATACTGTTGTTTCACATCTTGATATAGTCAAGCTGAGCTTGGTTGATATCTTTCCTACCTATAGCTTGAGGGGGAGTGTTGGAAATCATATCTATAAGTTGACTCGATGATTGTGGCAGATTTATTGGGTCTTCATTATAGGCTAATATTTAGGCTTTTGTTTAGGGATTTGATTTTTATTCTGATTTGATTTTTATTCTCTTTTCATATTTGTAATTTTCCTCTTCTATATAATGATAGTTAGGCTCTCAAATTGAGTACGCCAAATTTACCAAATTACTTTTATAACAATACTTCAATCTCCTTCAACAAAGATGTGAGTTTAGAATGAAGGTTCTCTCAAGACTTCGATAAGGACTCAATATTATATGCATCATTTACCAATATTTGATTATATTTAGTTTTACTTATGGTTTCTCAAGTTTGGTTATTATCTTAGTCTTGGAGATAGTGAAAAAAATAATAGGAAATAATTTTCTTATCCTCAAGTTAGAAATGGATTTAAATTCAATAGGAGTAATAGATCATGTCTCTGTAGCTGTCATCAAATTCTCTAAGAATGATTAATAGCATTGAAAAAGAAAAAAGATAGTGCATTTGAATTGAAGCTGGCGCATCAGTAAGTTTTTGGGTTTGATAACCCAAATATATATATATATATATATATTGACTGCTTCCCATTAAAATGCAGTAACCGTCACTCCCGAGACAATTACACTGTTACTGCAACCATTGATGCAACTGATAGCACAATTAAAACCATAGTAATAAATCATTGCTTAGGTGCTTAGAGGACTTACACTGTGCTGAGAAAATTTATTTGGCTATTGCCTATACCTTCCGAGGAACTCTTAAAATTTGAAGTCTTTAAGCCACAAGAACTGATTAATAACGATGGCGGGAATCACACGAAACTCTTGTATGCATGTTTTGTCAGAAATCGAAATGGTTATTCTTTCTTATTGTGAATTTTGAATGCGAATGTTTTATACAGATTTCTGCATAAGATGTCTCACCTATAATTGGTAATCTTTCAACAAACCATAATTTCAATGTAATTTTCAGGACACAGTACTACCTCTGGAAGAGTCCCTCATGTTGAACAAGAAGATCATAGAGTCTCAATCACCAATTCAAGGGTGAGCTGAATGTAGGCATAAATTCAGAGTGCTTCATAATCTATAAAGAGAATTTGGATTCACGTTCTTTGATCTGTAAAGTTTTCCAATCGAGTTTCTTACTTGTTTCAAAATATTTCCAGCAATCAAATGCTAATGGGAAGGTGGAACTTGACCTGCACTCAGGTTTTTGTTCAGTGATCATGTGCTGTTTCTCTATTTTCAATTTTACTGTTGCTTTAAATCAATGTCATATGATTGAAATTTTCTACACAGTGAGATCTTCACCACCGCCTGCATCGGTTGAACCCTCTGTTGCACCTCATCCAAAATCATATATGGAGGTTTTTCTTTTCCTTGACATATCTATTGTTCATTAATGTTTTTAAAAGATGATGGTTGATTTAATTGTGAAAGCAATTCATCTTATCGTGTGCCCTTTGATTATTTCCATGGGAAGAGGCTGTCAACTCTGTTTGAAACTGGAGATAATGCGGTCAGATTCATCTATAATTACTATTCTAAAATTTAAATGCCTTTTGAAAGCATTTAAAAGCTTCTTAGATTAATTATTCATATGTGATCTATGGTCAATGCATACTGTTACGACAAGCACTGCGAACCAAGAACAAATCAAGAAACTGACAAAAAAATACATATCCACCACACAGAGAGCATAAAGTTTTATGTGGTTTGGCGTAAAATCTACGTCCATGGTGAAGATCTAACAAAAGATTTCACTATGTGAAAAATAGGAGCCCAAACCCTAGATCTCTCTCTCTCTAAAACGGCTTTTAGTGTTCTCTCATCACACCCCCCAAACCCTAAACGCCCTTATATACTGGGCTACAAGAGAGTCCTAAAACTAGGTCTAAACACTAGATCTCTCTCTCTCACTCTCTAAAACGGCTTTTAGTGTTCTCTCATCACCAACCCCAAACCCTAAACGCCCTTATACACTGGGCTACAATAGAGTACTAAAGCTAGGTCTACAACCTGCAAGAGAAAAAATGGCACAAAAAAATTGGGTCGCAATGCGAACTGAGCTGAAACAAAATTCGGGCCACAACTTCACAGACAGTGGTGAGGCAACACATAACCTAAGGGCCTCTTCTCCTTTATCTTTTTCTAAGTATTAATATTTTAAATGTGCCCCAATCCTATGATAAATTTCTTCCCTACTCTTACCTGCTCTCCCCGCCATTCTCAATGGATAAATAAATTATGCAAAAAAGAAATTCTGGCTCCTTAGTCTGCTTGGGCCTGGTATTTGGGTATCAGTAGGAAATAAGTGAGAACATAAAACATCATGATTTCACCTAGAATTTGAGTTCACATAACTGCGGGGATAGAATTGGTCACTGAGAGTTAAATCAATTTTCTTCCTAGTGGATGAGTTGTGATCTAGAGAAATATTATCAAACTTTATGCATAATTACTATTTTGGTTATTTAATATTATTTTTTTTTTTACCTTCCCGATGAAGCATAAAGCATTTCCATTTTTTTTTTTTTTTTTGGAATTATTTTGCAGATCATTGCTATGGTCCAAAGAGGAGAGAGACCTCCTAACATCAGTGTAAATCCGCTCTTGGTGTTCATGCTTTGTGTACCATATTTCATGGGTTCAGTGCTGAAACTCTCCTTTTCTTGATTTTTTTTCAGGAGATCAATGATCTACCTCCCAATCCCAATCAGCCAGTGTCAAATCTTCGCTTAGCATCTAGAGCTAAGGTTTACATTAGAGGATTTCATATCATTACCATCCTCTTTTTTTATACATCTAGTTCATGGACCAATGTAGACTATATGAATGTGAGAGGTTTTATAAAATTAGAATTTTGATTATGGAGACTCTACGAGCTTGGTTGGTTTAATTTTTTCCAACAGTTTTCGAGAACTCTGAAGATAGAAATATCTGAAATTAGGCTTTTTTTTGGTCTTTTTTTCTTTTTCCAGAAAGCTGTTAACCAAATGAACTTCAAATTTTTTTTTTCTTTCTATTTTGTCATTTTCAGTTATTCGAGGACAAAAAACTGTTTTCAAAAATTTGAACGAAGCAGGCTCTACAATTTTAGTATCTTTTTAAATATTTGAATAGTGACTAATGTCTTCTTTCACCTAGTCCTAAGAACCATTCCAACTCTGCAACTTCAGTATATAGCAGTTCTATTACTATAGCAGACAACTGCCGTATATACCAGAGCACTCATTATCAATATGCATTTGGTAGTTGTACTGTTAAAAAAAGATTAACTGATATGATTTATGGTGACCACTAATTACCACATCGCGGTCTTCAATAGGTTTGAGAAGCGTCATTGAATAATTGGTTCAAGTTCTAGATATATTATTCCATAAACTATACACAGTAGCTTTCACGATTTAATTGTTTTAAATTTAAATATTCTTCATTTTATTTGAATGGTTGATATGACATAAACCATATGGCATTATAATATAGGTGTTTATGTACATGCGGTCATACCAGATAGAACTGATTTTTTTTCCTTTTTTTGTTGGCTTTCCTCTGTTCTCCTGAGCAGCCTTGGGATTTTGGTCAGTCTCAAAACAGCTTGAGCCATATTCTTCCGTCTCAAGAGAGCAGTGATGGATTCAATTCCCAGTTTGCAGATAATGGGCTTATCAATCAGGTGAATGGAGAGAGTAAAGTTCCTTGGTGGCAACAGAAAAATATAAGAATTACAGAAATTGAAAATGAAGATGACCACAAGACCGTGTCATCTGATGTGTTTACAAATGGACGACCAGTTCAGAACTCATGGGTTCCTCCCCAGCCACCCCCTGTTGCAATGCCAGAAGCAGCCGCAGCAATCCGACAAGCAAAGAAACAATCATATCAGAAAGAACAATTGGCTGATGAGCATTTAGAGGCTCATTCTTCAGATATAACTGATGAGTTGCAGAGGATGACAAAGATATCTGAATCAGGTGTAGCTGAGGCTAATGGTGGGAGTTCAAAGCTGAACACCAGTGAGATACAAGCAGAAGGTGGAGCTTTTGAATCTTCTTAAGGTATCCCATATACGCTGCATACAGTTGAATAATTTTCAAAACATGTTTGTTCAACATGAACCAAACGATTTACTTGTTGAGTACCTTCATTGAAAATTCAAATACTTCATGCAAACATGGTTTGACGAGGAAAAAGTTAATAATATCTAGGGAATCATATAAACATTGACTCTTGGCTATATGAATGATGATTTATAGCGTCTAACATAAAATCTTTTTTTCTTTCCACATGTGACATGTCTATAAATTTAGTTGACCTCCCTCATGGGGACCCGGGGATTAAAATAGTTTTCTTCGACAGAATATCTGATAGATACACTAGCTTCACTAGTTGAGTGAAAAGTCCTTCTAGTAAGGCTCAACACTATATTTATTGATTATAGCTTTGTTAGTATCACTTCAACTTTGACTGCAACTTCTTATGGGTGGCAAATTACGACACGATACGAGTTAAAAGGGTTTGAGTTTGGCATAAACAGATTTGGGTCATAAAAAAGTCGACACGATTAACATGTCTACTTAACTGTGTTAGGTTAGGGTTGAGGGGTTCAACCCGTGTAGTTCATTTATGACCCATTTAACTCAACATGTTATAATCGTGAATATGACATATAATATATTATCTGTTTAAACTCAATTACTATAAATAGTTAAGTCATTTCAACATAAACCTTTTTTATACCTTATGATTTTTCTTTTTATTTTGAATATTTGGGTTAATTATGATAATTTTTTTCTATTATTTAGTATTTGGTTAAATATTAAATGTTTAGTGTTGAGTATTTTTGACACGATTATTAAATGGGTTGAGTTTAGATTTACCTATTAAATGGGTTGAGTTTAGATTTACCTATTTAGTATAATATAGTTACATTGAAACGACACAAATACGACCCACAAACACGAATTGCCACCCTTACTTTTACCCCCTCTCCCCATTGGTCCCCTCCTCTTTTTCTTATTTGAGTGCATTTGAGCAGACAAGCTCTAGGTTGATATTTTTTTATACGTTCCGGTTGAAGATGTAGACCCAGAAACCCAGTTGTTTGCGTCAATCATCTTAATTTAAACTCTCAAAATAATTATTTTCAGTATTTAGGATCAATTGTATAAAAAGTTAAGAGAGATTGATGATGATGTAAGTAGTTGAATTGTGTCGTGTGGAGAAGAAGAAATGATAAGAAACGATTCTTAAAAAGAAACGATTCTTAAAAATTGTTTTTAGTGGGAGACGTGGCTTATGATAGAAAAGGGAAGAAAGAGAATCTGTGATTTACGCCATTTGTACCAGATAAAAGTAAGGATGATGATGATCTCTACCCGTCTGTAGCCAGGTTAGTCTTCTCAGCAGTCTATCGATATTGAGTTTGATCCACATATTGGTTGAGACTTTCCAAGCTGGCAGTGGCTGATAATTGGTTAACTTGTCTACAGCCTTAATTCTTAGGGAATTGACCAATTGGATAGTTTGATAAATAACAAAGCATTTTATAGGACTTTTTTTTTTATTTTTTTATTTTTTTATTTTATCGCCCAACATTCCGTTTCATAGAAAAAACTTATGTTATGTTTGACAGTATTAAATACGAATACGCGACTTCAATTTAAAATTAAAAAAAATTTAATTGAAACTTTAAACTAATTTTTTTTTTTTTCAAATTGCACTAGTTAGTGCTCCCAACGCAATATTAGAGGAATTCATTTCAGAACTCAAATCCTGGATAAGTTATGGGTCATCCATGTGGTCTATCTATGTCAATTGATGCCCATAGGACAAGTGCTTGAACTTGGTCATGTATTTTCTGGCACACTGATTTTGCACTGTTAAATGTCAAAATCATATACACTTTAGCACCGAAACATGTGCCGTAATTAATGTGTAGTTGGTTTCATCTTCTGCATCTTGGATTGCAATCATTATTCCCATGGATTAGGGATTTGGATCCCCTAATTTTAAAAACTCACTACAAGTTATTGTAATTGAATTTATCTCGTCTCAGACCATAATTTTTTTTTGACTGATCTACCTTCAGGTTTAGACCTTTTATTTTCACATGTAGATTAAAAATTAGAGTAATGATAAGCAAGGAAACACTTCCCAATTTGACGAAGAAAAGGAGGAGAAAACAATCCGAATCTGACTTGGCTAGGCTACGTCAGAGTTAAAAAAAAAAAAAAAAAAAAAAAAAAAAAATTGCTCTTTTACATGGTATAACTGAAAATAAATAAATAAGAAAAAAACTAAAAACTCTATAAAATTGGAGAGAGTAAAAGAAAATAATCATAAACCAAAAAATTTTTGTTTTTCATATTTTTAAATTTACAAAGTAAAAATTCATAAAACTATACAGTTTGAATATAGCCAATCATTTTAACAGTAAGTCAACTTTCTTAACTATTGATTTTAACAAATTTAATACAGTATTAGATAAGAATTCATGGACTCAAAATACACACACACATTTTTTAGGACTTTGCTCATTTATACTCTGTTATGTATTGCGATTTAAGATTTTGGTAATGGGGAAGAGGGAGAGTTTTTAGTTTTCGGTTTGTGAGGGAAAAGAGGAAGCACTTTGTTTTTTATTGTTTCTTTTTTTTCTTTCCTTTTTTCTCATTTTCTTATTTTTCCTTTCAGTTATACAATGTAAGAGAGGATTCTTTCCTTTTTAACACTAAGGTGGCCTAACCAAGTCAAATTCGGGGAGTTTTGGCGTTTTCTCTTTGATGTATTATTCTCAAAATCACTAACATCTCTGTTAGAATGTATAAGATAAACGGGGGTTGAGACATCATTACTCTTGAATTATTCTAATAGTATTTAGGGTAAATTATTTTAACCTCTTGATATTTGACCATTTTGATCACTGTGTCACTAGTTTGTCAACTTTGTGTGACAAATGATGTTATTTACATATTTGATTGACATATTTACCCTTTTAATTATGTTAAAATTGTTCAAATAAATTGTCAAGTGAAAAATTCACGCGATCCAAAATGATTACGCTTCTTACAATACAACGAAGATAACTAAGGCACTGGTGTGGTGTTGAAACATTTTTTTAGTAGTATTAATGACAATAATGGGTACACTTATTATTTATGGGTAGACTTCTTATTTATTATGTGGATTGGTTGAGCATTTTGATCACTCTGACACTAATTTGTCAACTTTGTGTGACAAATGACATTAATTACATATTTAATTGACATATTTATCCTTTTAATTATGTTAAAATTATTTAAATAAAGTGAAAAGTGAAAAATTCACGTCATCCAAAATGCAACGTCTCCTTCAATATAACGAGAACGTTTCTTACAATACCGATGTAGTGCTGGCCGAGGGGACGCTCGGTGATCAAGGGAATATTTTACTACTGTATTAATGAGGCACTACTCAATTTTCAATAACAATGGTCACTCAAAGTCAATCCAAAATAATTTTTCTCATCATAAACAATTAAAAAAAAATAGAAAGAATTACAACTCTATCTGCCAACCAAACAAAGAGAATAGAAATTCCCTATTATTAAGGTTTCCTAACACGTCTAGGGTTCCTTGCCGCCGTTAAGGTTTTTGTGCCGTCGTTTTCTCGATTCCCTTGAGCGTTGTGCTTTCGGCTCCTCCGATTGTGGGTGTTCTTGGGATCGAGTCTTATTTTCCTTTCTCTTCCTTGTCTTTCCTTTTTCCTTTTGTGGGGTTCGGTTAGATGTGTATCTCCGTGTTTTTTGGCTGTCTGTTTTTTTATCTTCCTTCCTCAATTTGGTGTTCTGTTGTTAGCGATTTAGGTGTTCTATTCGATATGTCTTCCTTTGGGTGTTTTTCTAGATTTAGGTTTTCTATTGGTAAAATTCTAATTCTGTGGAAAATTTGGTGGTCATATATTTCGATGTTTTGCCTTTTCTTGTTTGATTTGTTCTATCTTGTGGCTGTTTTCACTGGTGGGTTACTTTGGGGTTGTTTCTTGTTTTTATGGGTGCCGGTGATCGTTCTTTATGTGTGTTGGAGACCCTTTCATCTGGGATGTGATCGACACTGGGTGATGTTCTATTTGAAACCATTTTCTCATCTCTATGGTTTCCTTTGGAATTGGCTGTGGATTGGCGATACCATTTCGGATCTACTGTCCTGTTGAGCTTAGTGGTCCGATTGAAGATGGTTTCATTTCATTTCTTTTTGGTTGATTTGTTGTACCATGATCAACGGTGGGAAGCTGAATTTGCCTGTAGCTTTGGTGGATTGTCGGCTTTTTAGGTCGGTTTTTACTTAGTGGGCCGATTTTCAGCTGATGTCTTGCCAAGGTTTTTTGGATGCTTCTTTTGGATTACTGTGGGGTCTGCCTATTGTCTTCGTTTTTTGGTGGTCTAAGGTGGTGCTCCTGATGATATCATGGCTGAAGTCAGACCAAGATTTGATTGTTGATCTGTTTGGATTGCTGTGGGGCCCTACTATTGACTTTGCTCTCTGGTTGTATAAGGCGGTGCTGCAGACGTTTATTTCAGGGCTGTTCACATTTCTAGGAATTTGTGTGGCTAGGGTACCTCAATGGCTCCTTTATGTGTCTTGCTCTGTTTTGTTGGACCTTTAAACTATTTGGGTTAAGTGGGGAATGTCTTTTCAAACACGTCAGTTGAGATTTGTGCGAGGTCGTAGCCTTTTGTCTAAGCGGTGTTGCAACTGCAATATCGAGGTATGAGTTTTACTATGGTGTAGCTTTTTCTTATACGACTTGTTCTGATATGTGTGGCTCCGCTAGCTTGGCGTAGTGGATACGCTTCTGCTTTGGTAAAACATAATGTGATGGTTGCTATGGATGTTGTTAGTGGTAAGGTTGGAATGCGATTTGACTCTTCTGAAAAGTCTGGGGCTTATCTTGCGGTTAGGATTCATAAAATTCAGAGTCCTCTCACTCTGTTGCGACTCAGCTAGCTTCGCTTGTCCGATGTGCTCTTGACTATAACTGACACCTTTTCCCTAGTTTGTCAAGACTGTGATCTTAACTATAAAGGGTGTTAGTTAGGTTTGGTTCTGTGACTGTTGGTGTTAAATGTGTTTTTAGTTATAAGTTTGTGGCTGATGTTCTTGCATGTAGATGCCGTATGATGTTTGACTTATTTTTTGCCAGGAAAAAAAAAAAAATTGGAATGACTAATTAATCCTCCCTAAACCTCCTTATTGTAATGACCCGGTTATTTTCTTTCTTTTCTTTTTTAGGTGAATTTCTTTTCCG